ATTTGATTGTTTGTTGATTTCTAACTAGGTTCTTATCACTTGAATAGTGACATGGATATCACTTTGTTGCTCGTTAGTCTATCTACAATTGCAGTTTCCTTTTCGTTTGAAATGTGACAATGCAGTAGGACTTCTCTTGCTAAATTGCATTAATTCTGTCAGCTGCAATAGGAGGTCTTTTTGTGGATCACTTCCTTGAGACCTTTTCGTACCCCAATTCTTTGGCAAAGATGCTGATACCAAAGTCTCTTATTTGAATATGGTCATGTTTGTTGATTGATAAAGTAACTGGTACCTGCAGATTTTGAAGGACTTCTTATTATGGGTTGAGCATGATCTTGGTCCTTGGGGTCCCCTTGTGCTGTAAGTAAATTGTAGGACTTTAATTTTGTTTCTACTTCTACCATATCGTTTTTTTTCTGGGTTTTGACTCTGACTAATAATAATGTGCATGTCTCATTTTGATTGCTGTCATAATTTTAATCATAATGCTTAGTCACAGAAACAGATTGCTGACAGGTTAAATTGTCCGCAAACATGAGTTACTGGTGAAACAGTGATAGACTGCCTCTGTTTGCCCTTTCAACTTATATTTCTTCGGGTAACATACAGGGCTATTGCATACATCCCACTAACAGTTTTGGCAGTACCAGCTTCAGTACTTACTGTAAGCATTTGTCCGATGCCTTAGCGATTGTTGTTACTGCACTGTAATTCTTGTCGAATAATGATCTAGCATATGCTTTGCCTACTTCACTTAAAGTTTTCTTTTACTGTTATATTCTGCAATATCCAGTCATGGTCTAGAGGGGAAAAGAGAGGAGAAAACTTCAAGAAAGAATTTTTTTTAATTTTTTTTATTTAATTTCAAGTTTGCACACTTATGTGATTCCTCATTTTAATGGTTCAGCTCGGTGGTGGTTATCTTTTTGGCCTACCAGTTGGCTTTTTTGCCGACTCAATTGGAGCCACTGTAGGTGCAGGGGCTGCTTTCCTTCTTGGAAGAACTGTAAGTTTCAATTCTAAGCTCTTGTTGTTTAGAAAAATTTCCTGGTGTTTAAGTACTGGAAAAAAAAGAGAATATATAATTGCATTTGTGTGTGTGAATATATAATTGCATTTGTGTGCAGGCGCGTGCGCGTGCGTGTGCTCTCATTGGTCATAAATATAGTATGTATGCTTTCTTTATCTTATTCTTAAATTCCCACACAGATTGGGAGATCATTTGTTGTTTCCAGATTGAAGGATTATCCTCAGTTCCAGGCAGTTGCCATTGCAATTCGGAGATCCGGATTTAAGGTTTGTGTGATTCATATTTTACCTTCAAAAAGTGAATTGACATTCAGTATGCACATTTAATGGCGTTTACACGTGCATCTTACCTTATTAATTTACCCTAATTTAATTGTTTTACAAATGGTAAACAATGAAGCAAGGAAGTAGCGAAATGGCTACAGCATAAAGTGAATGTATCTATAGTAGAATGTAAATAGATGCCGATATTACTTGTTTCATTCTTTCTGCAGATTGTTTTGTTGCTTCGTCTTGTGCCCTTGCTCCCCTTCAACATGCTAAATTACCTCCTCTCTGTGACTCCTGTTCCAATAGGACAATACATGCTGGCTTCCTGGATAGGGATGATGGTATTTTTTTCACCCTCAACTTTTATGTGATTCCATCCTAACATCTTGCTATACTATGTTCCGTTCTAATCACAAGTAATGGACACAATGTTTTTCTTTTTAAAATGCATAATGGGATGTTGTCATAGTTTATCATCGCTTTTCTTTCGATATATATGTTGATCAAGATGGTTGTCTTAGTGTATCTTTACAAGAATATAATTGTATGCTTGACTAGCATGCTTTGTTCACGTTGTGAAGTTAGCATTTACCCCTTTCAGTTACTCCACGTGTTATAATTTGAGCCTGAAACATGCTACCCATTCATCCATCATGACTTGTTGTGGTCCATCAATTACACTCAATTGTAAAAATGGTTCAGCATCTTTTAGACATCGGTCATATCAATTTAATGTATTAGAGGGAGAGTTGCACTGTGTTAAAAGGTGGTCTGCATATTCTTGAATTTGTGAATTTAATATGTGATGCATATGCACGCTTCCATCTGTCTCAAGCTGATGTCAGTCTTTTGTTCGGACAATATATAAGTTCTGAACGTAACATATAGTCATATATTGGTAAATATGTCTAAGTTCTGCTTAGGGAACTTGTGTACGAATGCAAATTACATGTGCTCTTTAGGTCCCTACCAAGCTGAGTAATATTAATTGTTTTATCAACTGCTATTTTTTGTTGCAACGTAGTTTCAGAGGACAACTGGACAAGTTTCCTGAGCAGGCTTCAAACTTAAAACTTTATGTTAAAGAGAGATCTTTATCATAGGGGGAGATTTTTGTTTCATTTCGATGTTAATGTGTTCGATATTGGTTCTGTTACAGCCAATAACACTTGCGCTAGTATATGTTGGAACAACTCTTAAGGATATTTCTGATGTAACGCATGGATGGGGTGAATTTTCAAAGACCCGTTGGGTAAGAGCTACCTGATATTTTATATGTTCTGGACTGCTTGTTATTTTTTAATTTGTTCAAATGATCTCTCCTCAACATTGTTTACTGAGATTTAGTATCCGGTGCATGTTGCGAGCATCATGCCCCAAAAGGGTGTATCGTAACTGTTTGTTATGGACATATAAGCTCTTAGAGAGCACAATTTATAGATTTAGAATTAGGCTCTGGGATTTGTATAGCATTGTTTCTGCATTGTCTTTATCTCTGACATATGTTCACTCTCTTATATTTTGCATGCAGGCTTTTATCATACTGGGCCTTGTAGTCTCCGGTAAGTTGCAGCATCTCGGCAAGCACACACTACCTGTTTTTTTCAGCCACCTTCTCTTCTTTTTCTTCTTAGTGTAGTGGGAGCATCGGAACTACCATGCTAGATAAAGATGTTTGGGTTCTTACTATCATAGCATGAAGCTTAAGATAAAAATGACATGTCAATGAAACAAAGAAGAAAGAAATAAGCAGAGAAACGGGAAAGATGATTTTTGAACTTTGGCACACGCTTAAGTAGGAATGCCGGTGTTGTTGGATTTACAAGTGTGTTGAATGGTTAAGGGGGAAAATAATGGGAACGGGAAATATTTAAATCACTCGTGAAATTTGTATGTTAGCATTTTCTACATGTGTGGTAGTCATTTATTAATTGCAGTTAAACAGAGCATTTTGGATATTTCCCCAAAAGAAGATTATGGACCAAGTGAAATTGCTACTACCAGAAAGGGGCTAATAAGCAAAAACTTGGTTAAACATTGTACTACAATTGAAGTTTTGAAGTATTCTGTTATCTTTTTCTTTGGCTTGTTTGCAGTGATTTTAATGATTTGTGTTACAAGAGTTGCCAAGGCCGCTTTGGATAAAGCTTTGGCTGAAAATGAGGATATTGATAACATCGATATTATACCAGAGTTACCTGTTGTCTCCGAAGCACCAGTGCATCTCAACCAGCCGCTTTTAATCAAGATAGACGCGCCCGACGACCATCATGAGAAATGAAATCCACGCTCTCTGTAAATTCTTCATCCCACCTCCTCCTTCCAAAGTGTTGTGCTCTATTAATACTGCAGCATCACATAGTCATCAATTTGTTCCCTGTACAGTCTCCCATCCTTTAGATTTTGTAATTTGGAACAAATATGGCTTAACTTGACCATTAAGATTGAATTATTTGAGTTTTGTCCTTTTCAACATGAAATAAAAGATTAAAGAAATCGTTGAGGTCATTTTTTTGAGCCTTTGAATGGTTGGTTTAATGTAAAGTAAACGATTAACCTATTTGCTCCCTACAAGTCTAGTATTTATACAGAAGATTTGTTGTGCCCTGTGTTGTCCTCTTGGATAGTTGGTCGAAATACGAGTCGCTTTTACCATTATTTTATTATAAATTTTCTTTCTGCGCCGAATCGACTGTTGAATATGATGTTGTGAGTGGAGAACAGTCTGAAATTTGAAGATTTGGTTTGGCAAGAAATGAAGAAATTGATCTACCTGCCACAAAATTAGGCTTTGTGTTCTACCAGCACAAACACCCACCCCAAAAAGTCATGCGAAGATTCTTGCATATCACACAGGTATGCATCTCGGTCTCCCTTTAGCACTTATAAAGTGAGTCACGTGACGAGGGCTATAAGATGATGGCGTTATATATCTCCAGTTACGCTAAAGTTTCTGCCAAGGGCCATGGCCCATGAAAGAAGTCCTAATCTGCTTGTGGTCCAAATTACCAGGGTAATTGGAGTGATTGTGGGAAGCAAAAGGTGATTGCTTGGAAACTTGAACAGGAGTGAGTGAATCAAAAGATAAGTTGGAATAACCAAATGGGAAGCAACATCATATACTCATGAGACCTCATCATTAAGCTTGGTGTGCAGTGTGGGTGCCATTTCTCTCTTTCTCCCACCCAAACCAAGGAAAAAACCAGTCTGTACCATTTTTAATTAATTTTCTGTGTCCACGCTTTCTTGTGTTGAAATTTTGGCCCCTTGAGACCCTACCACCTCCTTAATGCAAGGGCTAACAATATTCTATCATGTCACATGTTCCCCTAAGGAAAAATTATAGTGTGTAACTAGGATATAATCACTTGTTATAAATCTATGTCTTAACTAGATATCAATGATATATTGATCAAATATCAATGACCGATCCAATGTTAACGAAATAGTGATCTTATATTGAAATATTGATTATTTCAATTGGGATTTGAAAAATAACTCATTTGGCCCATTTCATATTCATATTTCCCACTTTGAAAGTTAATCTCAATAAACTTATATTATAACATGTGAACTAATTATACCAGGTAGTCGTATTCTAATACCACCCAACTAATCACAGCCATCCATTCAAGAATATGAGAAAGTGTGTCATGAATTGACTTTATGGGGGTCATTACACAGGTTATATATGGACTTAAAGATGTCAAATATGAGTGGTGTGAATCTTCTGCAACACAAAAAACCGAAAAAATGCATGTTGTCTTTAAGTCCAAGGTGACCAAAGTCACCAAACATTTCAAGTCACTCCAATCAAAAATGCCCAGATTTAGTATCTTCCCAACTGGTGGCTGCTTTGATGGATGCAGGGATCACACACAGCAATCCTCAGGATTTGGAACTAGGGTTTGGAACCTGAGTGACAAGCCTGTGGAGCTGCAGATTAGAGTTGGGTCCATACTAAAAAAAGTTCACACTTTGAAACCAGGCTGCTCAAAGAGGCTAAAATGCAAGAGCATATACAAGGCCTACATGCCCGGCGGAGAGAGTGGCGGCAGCGGCGGTGGTGGCATGAAGGGCTTGCTGTATTACTACGACGAGACCTGCCACCCTTACGTTTGGATTCATGACACTGGTGGTGATACTTTGAGGATGGTCAAGCAGCAATATATCAGCCTTGAGGACCTCAGGGACTGTTGTGAGATCAGAATTTTCAGGGATCATCAGAGAGGCTGCGTTTTGGTTCGGAAGAAACCGAGGCCGGAATTTTGCTGATGGGATTGGTTTTGATTTTGCATCTGTTTTTGTAAGTCTGTAATGTTATGTGTTTGTAACTTTGTATTGGCATTGTTAAAGCATGCTAATCTTTCATGTTTTTTGATTTTTTTTCCTCGTTGGAGGGCTAGTTTGTCTGTTTTATTGTGTGTGATTGAAGAATTCAGATGTTTTATGGTCAAATTTTGAAGAAATGTGTATGTAGTAGTAGCACAAAGATGTATACTGAATGAAATTGTTGCAGGTTTGGATTTGGTTTTTCTTAATGTGGAGTTTGGTCATTTAGAAAAATAAAAAGGGAGAATAAGAGAAAACGAAAAAAAAAATGAAAACTGAAACAAAATGGTACTAAAGGCTTTCTTGTTGTTGAATTGTGTTGTGGGGGGAGGGGGGATGGATGATTTACTGTTTTGAATACAATAAAAATCATGTATGTCATCGGTGGTGCCACTGAGACAATATATTGATTGCAAGAGAGTTTACCTAGTCGCGATTTTATGATACTGCATTGGCTGTGAACCGAAATTAGTTGGTAAACATGTTGGTTGTATAGTGTGTTTTTAGAGTTTATTTTGTTGCTGGATTCATTTTGTCATCAGGACTCGAAACCATATTTTGTTATAAAATCAAAATGAAATCATTTAACAAGGCAGTTTTAGTTGTTTAATTACATTAGAGTGTATAAATACATGAAAGGTATGAATACGGCAAGCAACATCACTCTTATGTGCTACCAATTAACGCGCAAGTCATTCAAGTGCAATCATCAATAAAACAAGCTTCTTCTTCCCACTATTAGTCCGTGAACACCAGGGTGTAAAACAAGGCAGCCATCTCACTCGAACTGAAGTACCAACTACGAACGCACTGGACAAGCAATGCATTGGACAAAGGCAAAGATGGCTCGGAGGAAAAGATCCTTGGCGTGGAACCTGTAATGGTATACCATACAAATGGGGAATTCTCACATAATCATTTTAATGTCTCACACATTTTTTTCTTTCTTTTTAGCTATTTAATTGAATAAATCGGCTATGATTTTTTATTTTTAATACAATTATATATTTACACTACGAGGATGAGAGAATAAATTTATTGCGAAATTATCATTCTCGAAATTCGAACATAAAGTCATCTCGAACCGAAATGACTAAACATAGCTACGTCTAGAATTTTAGCCATGCCTCAGTAACTTATTAGTTTTAAGTTTATATTTTAAATTTATTAGTTAATTTAGTTAAATTACCGTTGGATGTTTTCAAAGTTAGCCGTTGAATTTGAATCAATTTATTCAACAGGAGAGTTGGGTCCCAAAAAAAAGTGCTAAAAGGGGGGCTACATTTGGTAAGCTTGATGCCCATTTAACCAAATAATTGTATGGTGGGCTCTATAAAACTATAGCACATTCATCGGTTGGAGATGAATTTTTGAGCAAATCAGGTCATTTTTTTCGCATTTGGACATTTGGCCTTCTCTATTGGAGATGGTCTAAGATCTCTAACTTATACGTGAAGAAAAATACTATTAAACCATAGTACTAAGTAGCAACAACGACCATGATTAAACAAGAGCGTGCTAGAGACTTAGTACTGGTTTGGTACTGAGATGATTTTATAAAAAGTGGGTATAAAAAAAACTAAGCTAAAAAATGTGTTTGGTAAACACTTAAAAACAGCTTATTTTTACAGTTTTGGGTGAAAAAAAAACTAAAAATGTGAAGCAGCAAAAATGAGCTTATTCTCACAACACAGTAGAAGCAGTTTTTTTTTTTTTCAAAGTATAGCAATACTAAATCAACCCTTAAAAATACGTGTGCTTATCATTTCCTTTGCAGTCGTGATGTGAAGAAGTTTGGGCCTTTCCAAAGACCAGTGTCGCGAAGAGCTGATCACACTATCCATACGCAACCAACACGTCCAACTCGCTTGAGCGGCAACTCACGCATTGAAAAAAATGAAAACTAATGAAAAAGACTTGAAAACTTTGAGTTTTAATGATAAAAACAAAATAAGAGATAAAGTAAATAGTAACATGATTAATTTTTTAGTGTAAAAATATGATTGTTGCGTTAAAGTGAATAATACCAAAAACTTTTCGTTAAAGTTTTTTTAAAAAAAAGACTGCATCATTTTTCGCGTACCCACTGCCCTACCTGACTTGCGCATCGGAGAGTGGTTGCCCAACATTTCTACCACAACTACAAGGTGACCTCCTCCACAACTTAAAGGAGCAAGAGAATACCCGAGCTAGAGGCATTGCAGCCTATCTCATTTGGGCGTTGATCTATTTTTATACACAAAATTGAATCGGAATCCTCTTGCTTATAAATAAAGTTATAGATTTTAGCACCCCTGATTGATCTTTAAGTGTTTGTAACTAAAAGATGAGCGCAAAAATGGCCATAAAATGTTATGACATCGATGTGATTCTTTAATAAAATAAAAGGCCTACGCCATCAATAGTAGACCAGCCATTGCCTAAAATAAAATGCACATGACAGAATATGATAGGTTATGAATCTATAATAGTGTAAATTTTACATGAGTTACAAGTCATGTTTTACAAGTCTCTGCCAATTCAATCTTATCCTTAAGGTTTAATTTCATCCAACCGACCAAACGAGTCAAAAGCCTTAAGATCAATCCCTTCACAATCTACAATCAATTCAATTCAACTTTACGAAAAGAAGAATTTAACACATTGATTTCGAGTAAAAAATGTTGAATTATAGACCAACTTAAATAAAAGTTTTATGTTATAAACAAAAAACTCTATATAAAGCCGCAAAGAACCAAAACCGTGACAAATAGTATCGTTTTAACTTTTTTACTCGACAAATAATTTCTCTTCACGCGAACAAAACGCGATCTTGTTCCTTTCTCCTTCCTCCTTCCTCCTTCCTCCTACAGTCGTCGTCTACAGTACACGGTTCCCATACCAAGTCCTCCGCCTAAATCCACCATTTTTCTCCACTCACAATTCACAACCCAAAGCTTTGATCTTGACAAATGGGGATTTCATGGAGCACCAACAGAAGAAGGAACAACTATTACCAAAACCCACCACCGCCTCCGCCGCCACCGCCGCCACGTCAACCCCATTACATCTCAAGTTCTCATCCTTATTACTCATCGGACCATGCCTCTCTTTCTCCACCTCCACCGCCACCTCCTCCTCCTCCTCCACCGCCACCTGGCCCTTTGGTTTCAGCTTCTTCTTCCTCCTCTTTTTCATTTTCTTCTAATAACAACTACCCATATGCCAATTCCGCCACACCTTACGCCCCACAAGGACCGCAACCCAGAGCTCCGTACCCCACACACCCTCTCCCTCTCCTGCCTCCTCCTCCTTCTCCGCCGCAAACCCATTACTGCTACGGCCACTACAACTCCTGCAACCATGGCAATTCCATGATGGGGCGCTTCAGTTACAATTACAATTACAATTACCAGCAGCCTTATAATTATGGTGCTACTCAGAGTAATGGGTGGCCCGCAATTCGGCCTCCTCCGCCGCCTCCGCCACCTTACGTTGAGCATCAGAACGCCAAGAAGGTTAAGAACGATGTCAACGTGCATAAGGACACGTTGAGGCTTGAGATTGATGACCTGAACCCTGATCAGCATTTGGTGTCTTTCGTTTTCGATGCCATGTATGATGGGAGGTGAGCAAATTGGGATTCTTTTTGTTGTCCTCTGGTTGTTCGCTTCTTGAATTGGTCTATGTCTTATGTTATGTCTGTGTTTGAAGCTTGTGTCTTGTAATAGATTGTGTGTTTTTGAAATGTGTGTGTTGATTGGTATGTATTCATGCTCAGATGTTGTGGACAAGAAATGGGATGGGGTTTCGATCCAAAGTTAACGGCATTTAGGACCTGAGAATACTAAAGCCCTTAACCGTATAACCATAAATTTAAGAATTTGAGTTAGCTGAGATGGAAATTTCGTAGCAATTAATTAGGTAGAGGCTATGCGTGTTAATGACAATGGGGGAAGAGGACTGTAATGCTTTTGGATTCATTGCTGCCATATCCATGGAAATGGAGTGCTAGTGTTGCTGCTATGATACTGAACCGGAAAAAATTAGGGGAGGTGGGACAAATTTCTGAGATGTGTTCTGATATGTGTTCATTTAGAAGGGTAAGGAGACAATACCCTATGAGTTATACAAAACTCGCTTTCATATGCAAGTCTACAGTTACATTGATTATCTAAGCATATGAAATATTAATAAGATGTGGGACTTATGAAGCGATTGTCACTTGATGCTCATATTTGAATCTTTGGATGATGTAATTGCTGATGGACGCCTTAAAAGAAGCTCATGAATTTCGCCTTTTAATATGTGTCCTAGCTTGGGGGATGACAGTGGTAGATATGACCATAAACAAGAAATTAGCTACAGCCGTCAATGCTAGTTGGCAAATCAATGATTCGAACAACTTCACATTAGGGTTTGAAGTATAATTTTTTGGTAGAAATTTTAGCTCTGCACCCTGAAGTTCTAGGATTTTATCTATCTTGAGAAGGTATGGGTCCTCCTTCTCCAATAGGAAGGTTCCCTATCATATACAAAGGGTTAATTTTCTTGCTTTTGTTTGTTGAACACTGCTCTCAAGAGGCAGTAGAAATATGAAGGGAGATAATTTACTGCAATCACTTGGTGCAATGGCAAGTGCCTTCGCCCATGAGCGGTAGGTCTCGGGTTCGAGACTTGGGAGCAGCCTCTCCATAAATGGGGGAAAGGCTAGCCGACATTCACCTCTCCCAGACCCTGCGTAAAGCGGGAGCCTTGTGCACTGGGTACGACCTTTTTTTACTTGTTGGGCTAGCGTTTTTTCCAGATTACTGCTTTTCATGATAAACTCTGGATTAGGAGGTCATACTACCTTTGATATATTTCATTCTTCCTACAAAAAACAGGGGTCATACTGGCATCTAACTAAAACCTCTCACATTTGGTTATTTTTACTGAAGTAAGATGAAGCTATGTTGAAACTGTTTCTTAGAGTTTTCGTCAATTATTTTATAGGTTTTGAGAAATCATTAAATAAAGTAATGATTTTATCTTTGTAATTGAGTCTGCTCTTGTGCTTCATGTAATGAATTGTTTTTTAAATAACTCTTTATTATTTGGTCCACACTGTTTATAGTACCAATAATGCTATAGTCCATGTCTTGTTTATCCACATTTCTTTCAGTCTAGAGGTTCATTGAAGTATTATATATAATTTGCTTTTCAATAGTGCTTGGAAACAACTTTCTTG